TAATTTTATATAAAACAATATTATTTTAAATGATTTATAAAATAATTTTATTTTGGAAAACAGTTAAAAAAAATATTAAATTAATAATGATTTGTTTTTTCGTCAATGTCATTAATGCATATTTTTTTTTCAAAAAACGGTTTGATAAATTTTTCGTTAATAAAATTACCTTTTCATTTAACTTGACGTTAGCCAATTTAAAATAAATGGCAACTTAATTCGAATTGGTTTAATAATTTTGAACTAAATTTTCGTTTCAGTTTCTGTAAACCGGCTCCTAAAGGAATTTATCTTGAAACTACGTCAAATTTGCAATGCGATAATTTACGACCCTGGCTTCTTGTGGTTAGAAGGGTCAGCATCCCAGCAGAGGCTGGTTTATTGAGGCGTCATTTTCACTTTGTTCGCCTGTACATAGTAAAGGTTATATAACAGATATCTATCCGTTATCTTTGTTATGCAAAGTATGTTAATTTTAGCTTAACAATAAGAAAACAATATTGTTATCTACAAAGAGAAAGAATTTAAAGTAATGAGGAAAATGTTTCCAAGATTAAATAATGTATGTAATAATCAATTTATCGCCTCATTTAACTCCCTAGACGAACGAAATAATCCGCACGCTTAGCTCTATTTAATGGTAGTACAAGGTAACAGCAAAAGCAACAAACTAATCCGTATTTAATAAATTCTGCGAGTATATTACTATGAAAGACATTTAATTAGAGAAACTCTAAGTTGGGAGGCACGAATCGACCGAAAATCATTAATAACCAACCGGTTTGAGGTGCACGAATTTTCTTATATTAATAGCATCATTGTTTTTGACGTTTTGATGACGAGATTACTTCGGCACGCTCTAACCGAATTAATCACAGATATTGTCTGAAGTAACAAATAAAAATTAGATTCGAAATGAGTTGTTTTTCCACACAGTATGTCAAATTCTGATTAAACACACAAATACCTCGCAAAGAATCGCTCGAGATCTCCCGAGAGTCGCTTACTAAATTAGTAATGTTTACCAGCCGCCGCTTCATAAATAATCCATCCAATATCATCCGGTTTTGAGTGGTAAGTCGTAACGAATGTAGCTTTTACGTGCGACTTGTTTGTGATAAAATATTTACTCTTTGAGAAAAAAATGTGAGGAAATCACAACTTCTTGATTAACGCTTCTCCCATTAAAATTTGAACAGCTTGTGTGAAAAAACATACATTATGTTGGGACTTGCGAGAAATTCTTTTCCGGTGCACGATACCGATTCAATGGAATTTGGTATCGTCGGAAAGCTAATTTTCTTCTTCATCGAACATCTGACATTTTGTCGCCCTCGAATCGCTTCGAATAAAAGAAAATCGCTCGACGAAAAAATCATTAGACTTGGTAATTATTCGCAATTGAAAAATTTCAAACTTTATCATTTACAAATAAAGCTCGACTGACCATAAATAAAACCGACTTGACGTTCCCTTGTCTAAATAATAAACAAGCCAAACGTCGACGAAACTTTTACTTTTATTTACGATTTATACGACAATCATATTTATTTCGCCCTGAGGAATCGAAAGCTAATTTATCAAAAATAATCCAATGCCAACAATCGGATTTTTTCAGGAATTAACGTTTCAGGAATTGTCCCCGGACTTGTAAGCTCCGTGTACGTACTAAATTCGTGTTCGAATGAAAAAGAGCTTTGCTCCCGGTGGCACCGACAATTTTACACGTTATCAATAAGGAACGGAAAGTGGCACGTACTGCTTGCCTCCTCTGAACACTATTAAGGACGCTTTGACCGGTCGGGTGTAAATCAGGCTTTATTCGCAGCGACAAGAAAAACAAAAATTTACACAGACGATAAAAAAATCCAATTACTTCAGGGACAAGTTTTCAATAATAAATCACAATAAATAAAACATGAAATTTAAAATGTTTTTCGTGTATTTCATTTACATACAGCTTTGAGTGTTTTAATTAGGATTTTACTTCCGAGTTCAGCCTCGATATGAGTAGTGCTGAATTTTAATTTCAGGCTAAAACAAACATGAATAATGTAATTACAATTTTAAATATTATTTAGAAATAACTAAATGCACTTTTTTCAAATTTGTGTGTGAAATTTTTTAAATAAAACTTTAGTTGAGCCTGAAACAAAAACAAATGTTTGAACTGAATCAAAATGTTTATATTCATGTTTGCCACCATATGATAAACCCAAATTTAGTTTAGTTAACAGAAAAAAAGTTATTTATGAAAAACACATTTTAACAATTCGATTGAACAAAAAGTGAGACATTTTGCATTAAAATTTTTTAATTAAAATATCTCCTGAAACGTTCAGTGTAATAAAAATTAAGAATTTATTATTTTTTAAGTTTCTTTAAACATTTTTACGTCCGATAAATTTATTTACGGCAAAACTTCCTCAATATTGCCTCTTCTAAAAAAGTAAATTGTTTGAAATAGGCAGTTTTTGTTGTTTATCGTCAAACTTGACGCCGGTATTATTGATAAAATTTACGATCGTCGTACACTTTTATCCTTTTTCTTGCAACGTGGTGATGATCTCGGATCGATGTTGTTTTCCCTCTTAAATAAAGAATGTTGATTACCCACCTGACCCCCTACCCCTTGCACTTTCCACTCGCCACCCACTCACCCATCACTGCACTCAAAAATGGGATTTTTTCGTGTGGAAATCGAGCGGAAAAATCGAAACGTGTTCAGTCACGCCGGAATTTTCCGGGTCGAATCGCGGACTCCAACGCGCGTGTAACCGACGACTGCCCCGGATCGACGCCCGACGCCGGAGGGACACTGCTTGGTTGCGACGCCGGCCGCCAGAGGCGCCAAGCGGGAAGCAAAAATCGTTACTGTTCGCGCAGGACTTGTAAGATTTCGGCATGGGTGTTGCGAATTTGTTTCTTAGGACAGTGGCTTCTCTATTATTACATCACGGTTTTGGATGCTATCCAATCGACAAGTCTTTGATTTTTTCCCAAAACTCGGAATTTTTCTTTAAGAGAGTCGAGTTGCTTGAGAAAGTTTTATTTGGATGTTGTCGAGCCATCAAAGAGCTGCTACAGCTTTTCTTGGAAAATTTACACTTTTCAAGTTGATGCTTGTTTTATACGATGTGTTCGTTGACTGCTCCTATTGCCAAACAAAAGAACAACTGGATTTCAAAGAAAGTTGCAGACAAACGATTTTTGAACAAAATTTCAGGATTTTTCTGCACGATCACAAAAACTTTTAAAACTTAAATAATCAGTTCTTCATGTTTATAGATTCAACATTTCAAACATGTTTTTAGACGTGGAATATTTTCCCATCACGAATAGGTTGAACTTTTGCCAGCTCGTTTCCCCGATTTAGGCCCCATTGATCAAATGTGCTCCGACTCATTTCGCGCAACTTTGAATGTTGATTTTTCCATTTTATGAATTAGTTTCGCATTTTACTGCATTATTAATGACACTTGATGCCAAATTAAGACTTCTTCCTAATGGAGCACATGTTCACGGAATTATATTACGACTATATAATAGCAATACACAAACCTAATTATGGTTATGCTAGATTCAGCTTATCTAAACAAAGTACATAGCAAATGTTATATAACAGATATCTAACCGTTATTTTTGTTATACAATATGGCGTATGTAAGATTTAGTTCATATATCGGTTATCTAACCATGGTTATGTCTGGCGTATATAGCAAGGGTTTTGTAACAGATATATAACCGGTATGGTTGTTATGCAGATCTAAGAAATTTTTAGTTTCTTGGTTAACAGTTCTTTAGTTTGCTGGAGCTAAATCGCATTGAACAATGAGTGGTCTTTACTCTGCTTGTCACAACCAAATGCACAGTGTCATCCATAGATTATCGTTTATCATGTAAGTGTAAAAATTTTATTTAAATCTGTGCAGACATTTTGTCCACATGCCTATTACGATTTATTACCTTCTTTTTTGTAATGTAGTATAAAAGTTTAATGTTTATTTTTACATCTTTTTTTTGCAAGAGTCGTTACCAAAAAGTGTTTTAGAACGCTTCTTTAGGAAATCAACAAAAGCACTGTACAATATTTAACATGCACCCCAGAAAAGCTGCTAAGAGACAGCAAAAAATCTAACTTTTTTTGTGAATATTAATTTCTAATAAATTTTATGGCCTACAAAGTGTATTACTTAATGAATCTTGCGCAAAATGTTATATAAGAAAAATATAATAATGGTTATATAACTGTAATATAACCACGCGGATATAAAAGTTAGATAACGAAATAACTGCAATATAATGAGATATAAAACCGGTGATATAACCTAAATATACCCTCGGGCATATAAAGGTTAAATAACTAAAAATAACAGAAATACAAGCGAATTACACAGGGCGACAAAAAAAAGTCATGTTCTGACAACTTGACAAATTTTATATCATTTTGTTCGTCTCAGTGAGACAAATCAAATGCACTAAAAAAAATTTCAAAAAGTCTTTTTGAACTAAATATTTTTTTTCTAATTTAAATGAATTTAAAATTTAAGATATGATTTTTTGAAGTTAAGGTTTGCTAATCAAGCATTGCGCCATATAGCAGAAATGCATGTTAATCTTACTTAAAATTGCATTTTATAAAAGTATTTGTTTTAAGACTGTTCTTATGTTTAAAAATGGTTGCACCTTCTTTGTTCTAATTAGAATAAACAAAAAATGTTTGTTTACTTAAAACAAACAAACAGTACCTGCGTACTAATTAAAGCAAATAAAGAGTTTTTTGTTCTAAAAATGATCACTGATCATTGAGCAAAAAGGATCTAGAAGATTAAAGCAGCAGCTTTAAATATAAGAAGAAATCTTTTTCAAATTAAATCACTTTTCATTCAGATTCCAACTTGTTTACTTTGTTCTAAATTTCTGACCTTTTTTTTGAAAATGTTCTCAGCAAATGCTTTCTCATCACTTTCTACTGATGTTGAATGCAATAAGTCATTTGCTTCGTGTGCAAGTGTTATCACAACAACTACTATCTACAAGCTAACTGAAGCTAATCGTAGAATGTACCAACAAAATAAATCAGGTGACATTGCATTTAACATCACTCGAAAGAGTGAAAAGTGATGAGAAAGCATTTGTTCAAAACATTTTCAAAAAAAGTTCAGAAAGCTAGAACAAAGTAAACAAGTCGAAATCTGAATGGAAAGTGATTTTATTTGACAAAGATTTGCCCTTATTTTTAAGGCTCGTGCCTTAAACTTGTAGATCCTCTTTGCTCAATGTTCAGTGGTCATTTTTACAACAAAAAAACTCTTTATCTGTTTTAATTAGTACTCAGGTACTCTTTATTTGTTTTAAGTAAACAAACAGTTTTTGTTAATTCTAATTAGAACAAAGAAGGTGCAATTGACCATTTTTAAACATAAGAAAAGTCTTAAAATAAATACTTTTATAAATTTTAAGTAAGATTAACATGCATTTCTCCTATATGGAGCAATGCTTGATTAGCAAACCTTAACTTCAAAAAATCATATCTTGAAAACTACTGGGTATATTTTTTGAAAATTTGGGTTACAACTATTAAAGAGATGCTCTACACGATGGTAATGATGAAAAAAATTACTCGTAGCGTTTTTCGGAGATTATTTCGATTTACTTCGAACTTCTTCGAACACTGTTCGAAGTAAAGTTTGCCAATATTCAATTTCAAATTTCATATCATTTTAAAGGACAAGGCCATTCTTTTAGAATGGTCTTTATTTGAAGGATAGTTATTGAGTAATGATTTTTTAAAGTAAAAGTATTTTTAATTCGTTTAAATTAGAAAAAAATATTTAGTTCAAAGTGTGTGGACTTAATTTTTTTTAGTGCATTTGATTTGTCTCACTGAGACAAACAAAATGATATATACCTAATTTGTCAAGTTGTCACCCTGTTTTATAAGAGGGATTATACAACCGAAAAATAACCTGTTGTATATAGCTAAATATAACCGCAATGTAAGCGGCATATATTAGGACCAAGTTATAACCACCAGCAGTTACATAACATTTCCCTTTGAACCTAACTCTGATTATATAACGGTTAGCTAAAAAAAAAGTGTCACATTAATGAGTCAGCGGTTATATTGAATAGTTATATAACTGTGCTACAAGAGTTGTGTATGGTTGTATGCATTAGCATATTCACTAATGAATGATTTTCGTACATCGTCCACAACTTAGTGAGTCATGTCCGAAGAAGTTTAAATTTGTTTAACAAGGAACTTCATGTCGCCGGATTGCGTCATTGTTCGTGACCGTGTCACGTCTTTCATTATGAATAATAATGTCCGAGTACAAGTCTTGCAGTTCCGCTCGAAGTCTATTTTTCCACATGTTTGAGAAATATGTAGAATTTTTGATTTTGTTTGTCGTTCAATAATAATTTCCATGAGAATATCGAGTTGTGCGCCCAAACGTTTCTTTTGTTGAGGAAATTCGACGGTTCATACAGTTTTTTATTGCCAGTTTACAACGTTTTATTAGGGCGAATAAAATGTTTCGGCGTGTCAGATTTGGATTTAAATAACTTGAGACATAAAGAGATTTGGGGGGCGTCGTTACTGTTTTAATAAAAAAAAATCATCATAGGGAGATAAATTCTTTATTATAATATCGCATTATCGTAAAATCGGCATAACAGTTGTTAAAACTTTGCGCCGACTATACTTTGTAAGTTAATTTCAAACTTTAATGTTTTTGCTATAAAATTTTAAACGAATATTACAACCATATGCTCGTAGATTAAAGAAGTTGCTTGCTACTGCAAGATAAAAGTTTACAAAGAAAGAAAATAATTATTACTTCTTAATTAAAATTTTTATTCATCTTTTAATCCTATTATTTTTCGTGCTGAATTCGCTGCGGTAAAACCAACATTTGTAAAACCGACACCGTTTTACTTATCTGCATAGTGAAGGTTTTGCATTTGCATTCACACTACAAGAGCAAATGTTATAATTTTGACATCAAACACCGGAATTATATTAAAGCCAAAGAGAAAACATAAGTCAATCAGACACTGAACCGGCTGAAGTTCCCATTACGCCAACTCCCATTCTTGAGACTTCTGTGCTCTTAAGAGGATTTAATCCCGACGTACTTTTGCTATTTCAAGAAACGAACGGTTACACACTTAATTTTCTTCACAACACTAGTAAAAATAGAGCAAGTGAAAATGCATTTTCTGACCGGAAATCAAACCCTAAAATAAGGGTTGCGTCAAGAATATGATTTTCCACGATACAAAAAAGCATGTCTTTTGTTAATTTGGCATCAAAAAAACTAAAAAACTTGAATGTGTATAAAATCAAACAAAAATGCTGTTAAAATTTTTTTTTGGTCCAACCTCAAATGTTTAATTTTTAACCTTCCAAGACCATGAGATATAAGTACGTCGTCAATACTTATTTTTGAATGTAAAAAAAAATAAAATTTTGGTTGTAAATAGAATTTTGGCGTTGAAATTATTTGCCAAATAAAAAACACTGTCGAAATTGTGACATATGTATGGTGCAAAACATTAGGTATTTTGATAATCGTTTGGCCAAAATTGACCGAATTTTAACTTACGCGTAGAATACCATATTTTTGTCTTCAATCTTCAAAATCTCAAAAAATCCTTTTTTTAACTTGGCCTACTAAAACGTTTTAAGAACATTTCTTAATTTTTTTAAAATGTTTTTGCACTTTTCTAAGTCTCTTCAACACCTTGGAGTGCATTT